TAAAATCACTAAAAAGTTCGGCAAGAAAGCTTTCATTTCGTGACCAATGGTCGCTAGTTAGATTGTCATTGATATGCTAGAATGAGCTTGTACAATATAATAGACAGTACCATATGGGTGAACTTCTCGGTAACTTTCATTTGAATGGTCACACACTTAGTTTTTGTGCCCAAAGGCATACACATTACAACTAAAAGCAACTTGTAAGTCCTTCAGTTGTGCGCCATGACTGACACCACACGAAAGTAAAGCTCCATAGCTTTTTTACTTGCAGAGTCACACTGAGTTTTCATTCACAGACTTAAAAGTTAAAGTCACCTTCTACAGCATGGTAAACATTACCACGTGAAAATACCCCTCCTGTTTGATTTTAATGGTCACAGTAAGGGACCTGGGCTAAGCTTTATCTACAAACCAAGAAGTGGAAGTACGCTGTGAAGCACGGTGAACTTGTGAGAGAACTGTTAGAGATCTTTCAATGAAATAGTCAAGGATTATCCACAGAAGTACAAATCAAAGTACGAACATGCAAGTTGCATGGTTGAAAACTTTCTACATGAAAACCACATGAAAGAAACTTGAGGATTTTCATTTACAGTGTTTCCTTAAATGCAGTGTAAAACACATTAAATAATGTGCTTTTGGTTGAATTTATAAGTCATCAAACAGGAAATCTTTGCGCGATATAGCCAGACTAAGAGTTCCATTGAAATCTTTTAAGGGACTAGTTTCTTATCTCCTTGAACGAAGTTATCATTTACACCGGAGTGATTTCCGAGATGATGTCGAGGGGACTCTGCGAAGGTAGTAATACTAAGCCAGAGGAGGATGGTTGTTTCGTTTTATTTGTTTCCTCGCTAGAAAACTTAAACGGCAATTACGCGAGGAACATCTCGAGGGCATGTTAATGGGGAGCTGTGACATCACCAGACCGTTCAAATTAATATAAAGATATCTTTTTTAAGCGAAGTAAATGGTAAATAAACTCAAATATTAGGATTGAAAGTGTGCTATCAAATACCAGTCTGTTTTCTGGCGGCAGACTGTCAAATTTCCAACCTGTTTGTTTTGGTTTTCCCCGAGGCTCATTCCTTGACCCACCAACATTTCTCGTGTATATGAATAGCTAAAGTAAGTCCTCTGAAACTCTGGATTGTTGTTTATTTTTGAATGAGACCATTCTTTTTCTTAAGCACAAAGATATTAGAGTGTTTCGTAATAATTAATTGATCAATACCTATACAAGGTCGAGTTGTGATAAGCTTTTAATTGATAATGAGAACCTAACCTTGCCATTTTCCATCCTCGGAAACTGCTCCTTTATGTCATTGCCTCTATGAATTTTGTAAATGTAAACCAAGATTACCAAAAACTACACTTGGGAATTATGCTGAATTATGATATAACGCGGAAGAAGTAAGGGGTTATGTTGCTGAAAAAACTGAGAGAAGCATCGTATTCTTTCTTAACTTCGCCATTAGGCGAGTTTCGACATTCTGGTCAACGACTGTAAATGTAAGAATGACATATATTTGAACTGCGGATTAATAAATGAAGGTGAGAGTGAAAATGAAGCTTGTAAAAATTTCAGGCTTGTATGGGAGTTGAACGCAAGACCTCTGCGATACCGGTGCAGTGCTTCTGTTCAACCTATAATTTTATGGTATGCCCTCCCTTAACTATGGCTCAGTTTCTTGGGTAGAACCTATTCTACCACTTTTTAGCCTCTGTTCATTTTACAAAGGGAACTTTCTGAATTGCAACATTTTCTAACATCGATGAAGACTCCTGACCGCCTCCTGGTTAGCTCAAGTGGTAGAGCCCCGGACTGTTGTGCGGGAGGTCGAGGGTTCAAGCCCGGGCCGGACCAACACTCAGGGTCTTAAAATAACTGAGGAGAATGTGCTACCTTTCTATAATATCAAGAAATGGACAGATATTCTAGTCTTCTCGGATAAGGACGAATAAACCGTAGGCCCCGTCTCCTGCAGGGTTAGAGGTAGGAGACGTCAATTTCCCACGCACGAGATATTTCTGTGTGGTGGATGTCCTCCCCTGGGGTGGGGTGGGTGAGTGTGAGGGCCGCAGGTTAGAAAACTGTATTAGGTTATTGCGTTTCCCTCCTTAAATAAAGTTAAGTTAAGTTAAAATCGGTTTTCAGACTTTTGAAAATATAGCAAAGCTACCTGATATCATCTTCCTAAATATGAGGCTGTCTCTTTGAAGAAATTTCCTAGTAAAAATGTACCCTCTACATTTGGCTCATTCACATTTATTAACAAGAAACATTGTACAATGCAAGAGATGCTTCTAGTACAAGGGAGCTTTTTTGCATAAATTCTTAGGACCCTCAAATATGGAGCTGTTCAGTTCAATGTAAATACGAAAACCCTTTTCTCTTTCACAATTTGAGGATGCAATTAAGAATTATCTTATCTGTGAAATATTAATTAGTACTTTTTTATTAATAATTTAGTGATTTTTTTTAAATCATAGTAGTTATTATTCTGTTGCTAAACTGTTATACCTACCTGGTTAGATAAGGACGTAACGAAGAGACCAACTCTTGACTGTTCTGGACGAGTTTAATGCATGACGTTTCGGCCCCTCGACCGTCTTCAGGTTAAAAATTGAAAACTAAAAAGCTCTCTACATTCGTGCATTAAACTCGTACAGAACAGTCAAGAGTTAGTCTCTTCGTTACGTCCTTATCGTACATTTAACTACAAATTAACGTGGAGACATTGTATCCTGTGGATCCTCTTACTGGAAGTTCATCGTCAGGTATACCAATTTTACGCTGCTTATATATATATGTGTATCATATAAGATAATTCTTAATTGCATCCTCAAATTGTGAAAGAGAAAAGGGTTTTCGTATTTACATTGAACTGAACAGCTCCATATTTGAGGGTCCAAAGAATTCATGCAAAAAAGCTTCCTTGTACTAAAAGCATCTCTTGCTTTGTACAATGTTTCTTGTTGATAAATGTGAATGAGTCAAATGTAGAGTGCACATTTTCACTTTTATATATATATATAGAGTGAAATTTTGATTTTTGTAAAACAGTTCTCAATACATAGAAGTAGAGCGATGTATATATTGTTGGAGGAAAAAGACAAATAAACTACTAGTTCATCTCTACAAGCCTGTTTTGTGGTTGTCCACTCATCAGGGCAACCACGAAACAGGCTTGTAGAGATGAACTTGTAGTTCATTTGTCTTTTTCCTTCCACAATATATATATACTAAAATAAATGAAAAACGAAAGTCCTCTTTTACTTTGCTTTTGCGCTACGCGTTTCACCGCTGTTGCGGCTCTTCAGGTATAGCAAAGTGTGTTTATTTACTTATTACGCCACAGATCTTATTTTTTTTTTTTTTTTTTTATTTATAAACTTCGCCAAAAACAATTTGGTAGGAGAGATCTCACAGAACTAATGTTCCAGTAACGAGGCTCCTAAGATCTAATTGTAATTACAATGAGAATGGTTATTGTAATTCGAGGCACGCGCGAGCAATTAGCATAATTTCAAATCATTAAGAACGGGTTTATGTTTAGAAATAAAAAATCTTTCTTTGTTCTTTCTCATGACCTCAGAATGGCTGAGAATCTCGTAAAACGGAAAGATAGTGAACTGAGGGGTCAATCCCGCAGCACATTCATCAATATATTTGCTTACTCCCAGCATACTCATGTGCAGGTCTCTAATTTGCTGTTTGTGGAATGTCACTTTACTTCTCAGGACATCACACGTTTCTCCTATATAATTATGTCCACATCCTGCACATGTTATTACGTAAATCAAGTTTGTTGAGGTGCAGTTCATCGAATGTTTTATCCGAAATGTTTCATTCGTGGCGAAGAAGGTGAATTCTTTACTTAAATAGGGGTATGTTTCGCAACGTTTTGTTCCACAAATTTTAACTTCCGGATCAGTATCCTTTTGCTTAGAGAAATAGGAGTTTGTTAACATCCGTTTTAGGTTTCTGGGTTGTCGCTGACTGTGAATTACTTTAGTCTTGCTCATAATATATTTTAATATATATAGTTAATATAAATATATATATGTATATATTTATATTAACTATATATATTAAAAAATATTATATAAATATATATATATATATATATATATCCGCTAAGTTGACTTCGGTCGTGTATCTTTAATAGATCCTTAGTTGGGTTTCATATGGGGTTATAGGCTTCCCCTACCCTGTCACCTTGAAAAGTTGAATTTCCCGGAGACAACGTCTCCTACCACGTAAATCACATCTTTGATTGCCGTGTTGCCAGCATGGTTGTCCTGATAGTGTAGTGGTCATCACACCTGACTAGTAACAGGGGGACGTGGGTTCAAATCCCGCCAGAGTTGCAGTAAAAGTTCAAGTAACCTAAATCTTGAAGTATAATTATCCATAGCTCTAGCCCTGCTATTGAGCACTTTTTAGTAGATGATGATCTCATTCCGCTATTTGGTTATATATATATATACATATATATTATTAGTCTTCGCGTCCATGTGAAATCTCAACACTAATTTAATGTTACTGGTTGTTGGTACATGAAGCTGCTTTCGCAATTAGATTTTAATTAGACATAATTGTATGTAGTAATATCCCTCTAGCAGTGCCAGTGGTCCAGTCATAAACTCAGTCATATTTTATCACCTTCCTTTTCCTTTTGTCGAACGTGTAAGTTTGTGCCGTCTTGCCGATCTGCAATTTATTCTGTTTTCAAATACTTACATCAGTTGGATGCCTGGCTCGGCTAGCCCCTTCTAGGTATTCCAAGCAGCCATTCATTTCATTCGGTTTTATAATATCGTGCAGGTTAATTACGTCAGGCGTGAAGAGTACAAATAAAGATTGTGACGATTGATGAGGTGGCTGTTGTTCGTTTCGTTGTTACTCATTGCTGACTCGGTCACAGCTTCAATTGACCGTTTTAGTACGAAAGATTTAGATAGCTCATGAATTTGTGCTATTTTTCTTCCAGGTGCTTATCCACTGGTTCCTAATGCATGTGATCACTTACACACAACATATTGGGCTTCACCCTATTTAGCTGCGCATACGCAGCCTTTACTTTATGGATCACTCCTTCATTCAAATTGTGAAGCTTGCTACAGCCATACTCCATACTCATACAGCTCATTAACAGGTGAGATGGAGCGCTTTTACAATGCATGCATAAAACGATTTTATACCAAAGTATTTACGACCGCAAGTCAGAACAAAAGAATATCCTTAGGAACCTGGTGTCGGGTTCAAGCTTTCCACTCTGCTACTGTATGGATTTCTTCTCGGTTTCATGGATCGAGTCCAACTCGTTGGCTGCACTCTGTGTATAGTTAACTGATCTGCCTCGTGCCGGTAGGGTCCTTAAACACTATGGCGATTTATGTTTATTTACGATTTGCATGAATTTTAAGGCCTGGATGACATTTACATCGTGTAAATCTGGTTTACCCTAGTGGGATAAAAACCATTGTTATCATCATTGTTATCATCATTATTATTATTATAACTATTATTATTACTGTTATTATTATTATTAAATATATCAATAAAGGATTTAGCAATGGACATTTCACTGGGTGGCTCTTCTTGTCCACTGTTTCCAGATCGAATTGGAATTTGGAATGTTGGTTTTTGCGGAGAGAGGAAAACCGGGGGACCCGGAGAAAAACCCTCGGAGTAAGGACGAGAACCAATAATAAACTCAACCCAACTGACGCCAGGCCCGGGAATCGCACCTGAGCTGCAGTGGTGGGAGGCAAGTGCTCTCACCACTGCGCCATCCTTAGTATCCCTGCCATTCTACTTATCCCTGCCATTCTACTTATCCCTGCCATTTTTTTTATTTCTGCCGTTTTACTTTCCTCTGCCATTCTTTTTATCCCTCTCGTTTCTAATAATTGTGTTGTGTGTCATACCTTCGTCTTTTATTAGTAACTTTTTGTCTAATTATGTCGAATCCTTTTCTTGTATTATGT